AAATAAACGCAAGTAGAATTTGCCCATACTGCAGGAATAATCTTTTAGCTAATACCAACAGTGCAGGATTTAGAAATTCTAGTATATACGATTATGTTATTTTCTAATTCAGCAGCACAAACACTATTCCAAAGTAATCCAAAGATTAATTCCAGCAGGAAAGTTGCCTGCAGCTAACACTAGTGCAAAACAAAGAACATGTGTTCATATTCTCTCTAAAATTCAGGGAATTCTAGCTGAATACACTTTCCCCTCTGCTCAATAAAATAGCAAACACGTACAATTCAAGTTTTACCATGAGCCCTACGTTAAGCCTAAATTCTTGATTCCTCATTTGTGCTTTTCTGGACAAACAAATCACGAGGCCACAAGTTTGCAGAAGTGCCCCTGAGAACCCTCTCCAGCCTGAGCACCTACTGCAGCTTGTGGATGCTCTTGGGCTAATTTAGGCAATCAGGTTATTAACATTCAAGGCAACAGGCCATTAGCAGGTGGCACAGTGGACAAGACCTTTATGAGCAATGTCTCTGAGTACAAACTCTGCTGTAAGAATGAAGGAAGTGATTAACCGGGATGAAGCGAGCACATCACAAGCAACTAACCCAGCAGGCTTTTCATTTAATTAAGAGAAGAGCTGAAAACTTTTTAGATAGATAAAGATACACATAAATGCCGTTAATAAGACTCAGTAAGAACTGTTAAAAGCAGATAAAAACACAGCTGCGTCCTAGTCTCAGTATTGTACAGAGAAGGTCTAACTAGGATTTTTTTCTTCCAAACCCAAGCCATCTCCACACAGAAAATCAGTCCGCAGTAGAGTGCTACGCCGCCTCTGAACCCCTGGGTAACTCTAAAAAAAGAGATGTTTCGGGAGAACTTCGGGGGGGGGAAAAAAAAACCTACAGAGTTAGCACCAGTCAGCAGTTGCTCTGGACTTGCTTCTTCAAATATCCTTGTACTAAATTCCCTGTTGTCTGCAGAGACTTTGAGGAAAAAGGGCAGGGTAGAGAAGACCTCAGTTTTTGGTGTTAAATACTTCCAGACCTCCCCAGCCCATCAGGAGGGAGCAGGCCAGCTGCTGGTAAGGATCCAGATGTTGTTTTTGAGAATGGATCTCCCATGGGAGCTGGATGGCTGCAAGCTCTCCTAAGGTTCCTTCCCCTTCTGTCTCTGTGGGGCAACTTTCATGAGTCTTATGCCCCAAAAATCTCTGGGGCTACCTGGGAATGTGTGGTAGGGAAGAAGAAATGGCAAGAGGTCAGTGGAAAGCCTGAAGGATCCTCAGGTCTGTGCACAGGTCTCCAGACACAGGACACGTGGGCGAGGACTGGACAAGAAGGGTGTAGGTTTGGCTGCCATCCCTGATGTCTCTGTGGGCAGCTGAGCAGGCTTTTTCTCAGAGGTTTTGTCATCGCTGGAGATCCACATCAGGAATCTGCAGAGCCTGGATGGGACAGGCTGGCTTCGGTCCCTCCTGGTGGCTCACAGACTTCAGAGCAGCGTGGGCTGTGTGGAGGCACGTCAGTTGCCTCTCAAACTGCCAAGGCTGCTCTGAGATGCAGCGCTTTTGAGCTGCAGATCCCCAAAATGACAGTGGCAAGAGGGCTGTGAAGGGGACGAGGGAGCATGTTGCAGTAGGGTGGCTGGAGAGGTGCAGGGGCAGCGCTGGAGATGAAGACAGTCTGGAAGGGAGCATGGCACATGGTCCAGGGCACAGCCATGACAAAAGGGGAGGGGGACAGTGGGGCGCAAGGAGAGGCAGAAACTCCATCACCTGTGGGCAAGTGCCTGGGAAGCACTGCATGGCTGTGTGGTGATGCTGCTGGCATAGGTCATGTCGCAGTGTGCAGAGCTTCCCTGAAAATGGGGAGCCGTCCCTTTTGTTCTTGAAGACAAAGGATCTCTCTCTGGATCTCTTCCAGAATGTAACGCTTTGGCGTGGAACAAGAAATTCTCTGTTAACCCTACTCCCCTCTCGGCCTGGTAAACAGGAGGCGCCGAGCACTCTACTTGCCTCTTCCGCCTCTTGGAAATCCTGGGAAACAAATGTTTTGCTGCTAGCGCAAAACAATTAGAAGTGGGGATTTGTGCTTTCTTGTTGGATGTGCCTTTTCCCACCTCCTTGATTAATCTTGGATGCAGATGCTAGTCGTTAGATGTGCAACTCAGGATTTGCTGCGTGTTGCCAGGACTTGACCGGTGTGTCTTGTAGCAACAAAAGCAGATGAAACATCTGGTGGGGGGGGAATAAACCCCTGTGGAGTTTCCCGCCAGCTTGGCTGGGAGGGAGGAAGGGACAGGCGGGTGGAGAGGGTGCAAACACGATAGTGTTCAGGGTGGAAAAATGTGATCTGGATTCTCCATAACAAAGTTGTCTGCTCTCCCGGAGGGTCTCTGAGCCAGTGTGAACAGGATTTTTGCAATGACTGGAAAGTCCAAGCCTCCCAGTCCCTGAGGATGAGAGGTCTCGTAGGTGTAATTAGTCTCAGCCTAATTAGGACTGGTGGCTTTCCTCCACGTATCTGCTTAAATCCAAGCGATGCGATCGGCTGAAGGTAAAAATGTGCCTGGTTGGGATAAACCCCTGCTGAGGGCGAAACCAGGCCGGGGGCTGCGTCGGGGCAGTTCCCCTCGTGGGTCTCCACCGCCGACACGGTCGAGCGTTGCGCTGCTGCCGGGGGAGAGGTGGTCGGTCTGGTCTTTTGGGAGTTGGCTTCCCTCCCCGGGACGTGATCGAGCTTCTCCATCGCCTGGTGCGATAATGAAATGTGGCAGGATTTTTAAAAAGCTCAGCTCTGTGGGGATGCAAACGGTAGCACTTGTTCTTGGTCGGCTCTTGCAGGCTTCTTTTCTCCGTTCTTGTTCTGGAAATCTGACAGCCAAGGGTGAATAATTTTTTTAAGCCTTGCTGTTGGTCCACTGATATCCAGGGACTTATTTTCTTCCTTCTTATTTAGTTTGGTAGCCTACAGTAGGAGTTAAATGATATTAACAGTTCATACCTAGCTAAAATCCCTCATGGTATTGCAAATATTAACCTGATGTGGGACACCTGCGCCAGAAGTTGTTATCCAAAGTTCCTATTTCCTCTGCTGTATTTTTTGCTGAGCAAGGGGATTATTTGTGTTGTGTTACACGTCTTGTAATTATGAGGTCTGGCAGTTTAAGGACCAGAACCTTAAATTCCACTGAGCATCCAGTAAATTCTTCTAATCCTCTTGGGAAATAGTTTTTTGATTTAGAAATTTCAAGGCGGGGTGTTTGAAGAGTACAAGAAGTAACTTGACATTCGCGCATAGGTCACTCAAATATAGGTGTTTGCTCTGACAGGCTTTTTTAGGTCGTATTTGTGAACATCAAGCAGATTTACAGAAAGGCCGTGTGCTTGTTGCATTTTCCCTTTCTTAACGGTTCCATAGGAAAACAAAGCATTTGGGCGATTTGATACGTTCTTTAGATGTCTGTTTGGTGGGTATGGAGTGAAGTAATAGGTAAGTAATGAGAAAATAATAGTTCTGGAAGCTTAACTGTGTTATGTTAAAAGGAGCTGAGCAGAAGTCGTGCTCAGCGAGGTGACAGTTTATCCTGCAGTGCTGTGTAGGAAGAAGGCATCGGTGCAGCTGTAACCAAAGCTCCCTCCGCCCGGGTTTTGCTCGCAGGAATTGAGTAAATACGCTGTATGTGCCTGCTGCGTATTTCTTGCACATCCAAAACGCCCAATGAATTAGTGGAAGGAAGGCTGTGTTGTACCAGGGGTGCAGGAGGGAGCTCTGTAAATGTGATGCTCTGAAAAGTTTCAGACTTTTCTCTTGAGATGTGAAGGCAAACGGCTTGATCAAGTGTTGAGGAAAACATCTATATGAACCTGTGTTGTGGTAAAAATGCTTGGCATCTCTTTGACTTCTTTTTTCTAGCTTCTGTCATTCACCGCTCTTTCCTAGCCCTTAGGTGCTCTCATTAAGAGCGCTGACGAAAGGAGGGTGGTGTGGCCGTCTGTCTTCCAGGAGATGGAGAGGCTGCTGTCCACTTCAAACGCAGGAGGTCTGGATGAGTCTTGAAAACCACAGCCTGTCAGCTCGTTTCCCTGCTGTGAAAACACTCGCAATTGTGTCAGTGCTACCCAGGCCTGTTGCTTGCCGTGCTCTAGGGCACGGACGCAGCGGCTACCTCTGCTCCGGAAAAGAGAAGCCGGGAGCTGTATGCATTGCTTTCCTGAGGTCTGCGGGTGGATTTTTGAAAGGCAGTTTTAACACATGTACTGTTGTTCCCTTGCACATTTTCGGTCTTGTTCCACCGTTCTTTCCCTCCGCTGTTTTTCAGGTACAAAAACTGCTCTGTATGTGTCCAGTGGATTTCCATGGGATTTTCCAGTTAGATGAACGTCGCAGAGATGCTGTTATTGCTTTAGGAATCTTTCTAATTGAATCTGACCTTCAGGTATCTTTCCCACTTAGGCTAACTCTATTTAACTTGGAAGATTTTGGATTAACTCAAATGTAGTTGTTCAGTGAATGAGAAGTTGTATTTACTATCCATAAAAATAAAGATCAGAGGTACCAGATGGATGTGGGCAGGCGGACACAGGGAAACAAGGACAGTACTGATGAGCGTGACAGACAGTAGTCATGGCACTGCCATAGCCAAACTGCTGTCATGTTTTTTGGTGATTATAGCTTAAGGAGGGAAAGGAAAGGCTATTCGGGAGGGTTTGCTCAAACCACGTGTGTCACTGCATGTTCTTCCCGCATGCTTCTAAGTGGCAGGTATGTTCCACCACGCTCCTGAATGTCTGGTTTGTAATAGGCCGTTTCATGCCTGGCACTAGCCAGGATGAGAAGATGAACGGTGCACATAGGCTGCATTGTATGCGAACATCCCTTTTGTGTCTGTCAGCCTGTTAATGACAAGCTGGTTCTCTTCCCTTCGAACTCTGGGCGTGGTATTGTTCCGTGCAGAGGAAAGGAAGGATATGCCGAGTCCTCGGTCCAAAGTCATTAGACCTCACTTTTAAGTCGTTTAATGTTTCTAGGGTTTGCATCAGGCCTGAATTTCCTCCTATTTAGTATCTATTTATTACACTATAGCTTGCATGCATCTTATTAACATTGTCCTTTTTGCATTTTTTGTAGTTTGAAGTTTAAATAAGGCAGCTGTATTGATGTTCCGTAGCATTTTTATGATATTTTCAAAGCCAGCAGTTAGTATTAATTAATCCAACTCTATGAAGGAGGAAACTGCTATCCTTTGATTTGCAGAATAGGAAGCTGAAGTTTCACACAGATGTGTTAAGTGACTTGCATAATGCCATGGGATGGCTCACGTGTACTCACGTGAATTGGGACGGGTGCTCTGACATTCTAGCTGCCTTAAAATTATTTTGTGACCTTGCTGTAAACTAATACATTTTTGGGGGGTTAATTACCGTTCTGGAACTTTTTTCTCCAACTTTTATGGAGAATGAACTTTTGCCTAGAATGAAAGGATTGGATTTACAGCACTAAATTGGTTTACTTTCATTTGCCTGTGTTGAAATCAATTTTGCAATAGTCAAGAAGCCTGTGGACTAATCATTAGGAGTAAGTTATGTGTGTGGCTAATGTAGTCTTCCTGTATCTCTAAAATATCTTGAGATGATATGGTTCAGCTTTTCTTCTCCATTTTAAATAGAGTATTTTCCTCTTTAGCACAAAGATAATGTGGTTCCTTACCTCCTCCGACTTCTGAAGGGTCTTCCCAAAGTCCAATGGATAGAAGAAAGCAATGCACGGAAAGGCAGAGGTGATGTTTGGGTTTTTTGATCATTCTCATTGAATGCCAGCCAGGAAATAAACAATAACAAAGGTTATTCGGGACGTGGTACAAGGGGAGGTGATAGGTCCTGCTAGATTCTTAGCTCCTGACTCATCAGCCTTTAATATTGATTTTCTTTAGAAGCAAAGAGGAAGTTGAGTAGCTCCCAGCTTTCTTGCTTCACTGCTTTGTGATAAATTGCACTTTCCAAATAATTCTATGCTCAATATATTTTGTTACTAAATTGGAGAAGATTAGAGCAGGAGAGTGGAACCTGTGGCTACTTTTAGCTGTGATGCTTAGCTGCTGTTTAAACTACTTCATTTCTTGTTCCCTTAATATCCCTTAAAACTAATATAAGAATACTTTTTCACAAGGGGTATTATAAAATGATTTTTTTATATTACTTGAAAGCCTGGAAAAGTTTTTAATTATCAAAATTATTATTTTATCATTTCATGCTGAAATTATCATGGTTAGAGTGTACTTCTAAATTTTGTATGTAATCCTATATCTTCCTACAGTCTCATCTCAGAACTGTGTGACATGGAAATCACTTGTGTCTTTGTGTTTTATTATTGTTTGCTCTTCTATGTTGATTCTCTCTAACAATGCTTAAGTGGCTTATTTTCCTTCTGTTACTTTGCAGGCTTGCTTCCAGTGGCAGAAAACTTCAGCTTCTGCTTGGTGACGTTGTTATCAGACGTTGCTTACAGGGATGCATCTCTCAGAGAGCAGGTAGAGTTTATTTTTAGTTTGTGCTGATGTAGTACCCCATTCTCCAATGCTGCAGTACTGACAAAGGCCTAGAGAAGAGTACACCACAGCTGCTTTCTGTCTTGCGAAGGGATTGATTGCTTTAACATGTCTACTGTTGCATTATTTGGCTTTTCTTAATTAATAGTCAGGTGCCTAGACGATACTTATGTCTGCTGTTGCTTCCTGGTGTCGAAGGATGTCACTTGCTGAGCCCAGAGTTTTAGAATGCAGGTTTTGATACTGAAATTAGGACTGCTGCAGTTTTACTCTGCTAGTACGTACCAGCTAACTGCAGCCTTTACAGAAGAAGCTCTGTAAGCTGACTGAGGGCATTTTTTAGTCACGTAGCGTTCAAAAAATCTTGTTTACAGAGGTGCTTATGGTAACATTTGCAGGTTTAATTTGTGTTGTAGTGATCTAGTATAAGATAATAATATCTTTTTACCAAAAGGTGGGGTTTTTATGTCTGTCTTGATTACTTTAGATTTTGGATGCAATTCTACAAGTAATGCAGTTCCTGTTGGGAATGTGCCAGACCCCACAAATGCATGATAAAGGTACTACTAAAATAACTCTTTATATTGTTGCTTGTAACTTTATACTTTTAACTCCAGTCCTCTGACCTCTTGTGGTTTCTAATTATCAGGATCGCTCCTGAAAAGTGAGCAGCTTTTTCTTTTGACTTCTCTTAGCATGTATTTATTCTTTGTATTGCTGGCTGGTAAATACGGAAGTAAGATAAGTGTATTAATTTGTGATACCTTCATGTTTTTCCTCTACTTGTGCAAATAAGTCTTTGCAAAGCACATTAGGCTGAAACAGTGGTAGCAAAACCATGAAGAGGAAGTTCTAAGTTACTGTTAATATACCGATACATGTATTTTTCTTTTCCAGAATATTTGTGTAAATACGCAGTACCCTGCCTGATAGGAATTTCTCGAGCCTTTGGTCGCTACAGCAATTCAGAGGAGGCTCTCCTTTCAAAGCTTTTTCCCAAAATTCCCCCTCATTCCCTGAGAGTTCCAGAAGAGCTTGAAGGAATTCGCCGACGATCCTTTAATGATTTCAGATCAATTCTTCCCAGTTCTCTACTCACTGTTTGCCAGGAAGGAACACTAAAGAGAAAGGCTAGCAGTGTGTCTAGCATCTCACAGGTTTGTATGACTTGCTCCATGTTGGAGTCAGTGCTGAGATGATTTCGTGGTCTTGGTGGAGTTACAACCGCATTAAGCCTGGATATGCACCCAGTCTCTTAACACGTTATGTGACCAGGTACAGGGATCTTTATTTTGGTTCTGCAACTGATTTTCAAAATAATTTTATAGTTTGTGGGCTACAGAATAATCAGTGACGGTTAAACTAACAGTTGTACTAGTAAGTCTTCACATTGAACAATTGGAAAGTCCTATTCCTTGTGTTATTCTCATGAAAAAACATTGTAATGTGTATTTGCAAATTTGGGAAGCTGGCACTTAATAGCTAAAGTTTTCAGAAGCGCTGAGGATACATGAGCTCTCATGGGTGTCACCCTGAGCTGTGGATCTTCGTTGTCTTAGGGGAAGAATGGGTTCAGATGCTGGTTTTGAAACCACAGAGTGTTATTAGCATAGCTTCATACAGTACAGGAGTTATCTTTCTGATACCTTCCCTTTAGTCTAAAGCATTGAACTAGCTTTCTTTAACTTCCCATTTTTGGTTGGCATTGAGCTGTTAGGCCTGGCAATACATAGTTCCTGTTAGTTCTGCTTGAAGCTGTGTTTCATTATAAAGTGTATGAACCATTCTCTGGAAGATTTTTCAGTGTTCTATAGTTTTTAAATTATGGCTTGTGTGTGATATTTCAGGTTAGTCCTGAACGTGCAGTTCCCCCTCCCAGCTCTCCTGGAGGATCTGCAATTCATTACTTTGAAGGTAAGTTATTTTACAGAGGAAGAGTGTGTGATTTGGGGGTTTTGTTGCTATTCATAGAAAATGGAAAACAAAATAATTTTGACCCCTTTCTGTGCCCTCTAGAATTCTTATAGTAATTCTCTGGCACATACCTGCTAGGATTCTGAAAAATTTTGGGGTATAAAGACAGTAGGAAGTTATTATTAACACCAGTGTTTTCCAGGCTCAGTTGTTTCTGGCAGGCTTCTGAGAGAGACATGATTTCCTCGCGGCTAGGCTGTGCCTAGTACTGAAGAGCTTAATCCAGCTAGGCCAAAAATATTTCAGGAGATCAGGCTGAGTCACTCTGAGAAACAAGTGTTAATATTGTGCCTCACTAGACAACTAAATTGTTGGCCTAGGGTCTGGAATTTTGAGACCTTTGTGGCACATTGTATAAATAAAACAGCTGCTTCATTTGAAGTAAATGTGATATGGGTCATTGTGTAAGACCTAGTAATTTGCTGAAGTGAGAAATAAGGAGGCACTGAAGTTAAGTGCTCACTAATGTGTATCAATTACTGTATCACAAAAGGCAGAAATGTGAAACATTTTCATGAATTATAGACAAACTCTTCACCACTGAGTTTTAGTAGAGCTCTAGCTGTGAGTTCTGTGTCAAAGCAGTGTGTAAAAAATAACCTGTCTTTCATGAATCAAGTGAGGACTGGCTCCGCATCTGAGGTGTTTTGGTGCCTCTGGTTTTGTCTGGCCCTTTCAGGTTTTTAACAGTTTAGGCATTCTCTGTTTCTGGGTCATTCTACTCCCTTGAGTCCTGGCTTAAATTAATTTCTTCAACATTACTTTTCTTTTTCCTTCATGTTACTATTTGTAGAGGCATCTGTCTTCTTCAGTCATATCATGGGATTGTAGAGTAATGAAAATATGATTCTTAAATTGCTAAGTAGGAAGAGACCTGTTTGTCTTCTGTCTGCCCTGTTGAACCAGCCTATACTACTTCAATTTTATGGTCTTCATGTTTTGAATGAAAATTTAAAAAAAAAAAAAAAGGCTGCAGGTTAGAGAGAGACTATAGTAGTAGAACTAAAATAATCTTAAAACTATCGATGAACAGTGGACAACTCTGTAAAAATTTCAGAATCATTTTAATTGTGTCTCTAGCAGAGTTATGATTATTCTAATCAGGATTTTATTTTCATTGCCAACTTCTACCAGATACAGGCAGCCCTTGTATTATTCCTGATAATACAGTTTATGATAGACTTTCTTTCTGAGGAAGATGAGTAATGACCTTGTTTTTATTCTGGCCAAGGCTAACGGTTTAGAAAAAAGTACTGAAAAAAATTCTTTTGTTGTTCTCAATAAATAGTGTTGCTTGAAAGCTTATTAATCACAAGAACATTACTTGAGCACCGGCAGCTGAGTACTTTAAAAAGGCAGAGATGTAATTTCTAAAATGGAAATAGTGTCAAAAGCAATATGCTTAGCAAGTTGTTTGCTTAACGGAGCGCTTGAATCTGAAAAATAATTTGATTTCTCTTTGCCTTCAAATTGCAGTAGTGAATTGGTGCCTCTTCTAGGATGAAAGCTGTGCCACGTTTTCATTTGATCTAATATAGGGGAAAACCTTGCAAGACAGTTTTGACTTAACCTTTTCTTTGTGTCTTTATGCTTTTGAAACAAATGGAATTTACAAGTATTTTCAGGTAAATGTGCATCAGTAGTGTGGGAAGACTTCTTGTCAGCAGTGTCTCTGACATGGACACAAGTCATTACAATCACAGTGGAAGAATTAATTTCAAACTTCTAATGAACAAATGTATTTTTTCATCATAGTTTTCTGTCTTGATTTACCAGTAGATTAGCTGAAATGTGCCTCTTGATAGCTTGCAAGTTAAAGTCTGTACTGGCATTGGAAATAATTCTTTAGTAGTGACTAAACATTACCATTAAACAAAGTTTATATAGTCTCTCTCTCCTCAAACTTTTATTTCTATTATTTTTTCTGATCAGGTTCATATCTTCCTGATGGGAGCGCACTGGATCCAGATTATTACTTCTCTACAATCAGCTCCAGCTTTTCAGTTTCTCCTCTCTTCAATGGCATTAACAATAAAGAGTTTAACATCCCACTGGAAATGCTCCGTCAGCTGTTGAACATGGTATGTGATGGGTTCTTATGAAGGCTGCGGTGAGATTGCATTCTAGATATTCCTGCCAGAAATAGATGCAGTTTAAGGTTTTAGAATTGCAAATAAAAAGACGCTGTTTGTCTCTCAAGCTTTGTGTAATGTTATTTTCATGGCATTTAATGTCATGCTTCAATAGTATTCCTATAAAGCTCCCATATGAACAGTGAAGAATTAGGAAAATCAAATAAGTTTATGTCAACTTCTTCCTGTTTGAGTCTTGCAGACCACTTGATCTGAGGTAACCTACGTGCTGCTAGTTGCTGAAACAGAAGATTGGTTTTTGTTGTGAGAATGAGACCCTTCTCCAGAAGGATTTAGTTCACGCATATAACAGAAACTGTTAGCCCTGTCTGCTTCCTGCACCAGCTATCCTGGAACAGCATAGAGAGGCTCAAATATATTTATCCTTGTTGCAGACAGAAATTCTTATAGCTTTAATTTCACCTGACGCTTTGCAGTCAAGTGACTTGTACAGGCAAAATTGTATTCTCTTCCTTTCTAGAGTCATCAACAGGAAACATCCTTTTTTAATTTTTTCTCCTCTGTAGGTAAAACAGATTGTTGGGGATTCTCTGCTAAAGACCTTAGATGCAGTTGTAGCTGAAGTTGCAGAGGTATGGTTTTAGAATTCTTTTCTAATTACTCGAATGCTTTATTTTTTTGTCTTAATAATTAATACTTGGAAAATGAGCCTTCTACCTATGTGAGGTATGCCTTACCTTTGCAAAACGATACTAATTTCCTGTTTGAGCTGTTCTTTCTGTGATGTAAATCTAGCCTTGGACTGTAAAAATGGGTGGGTGAGTGTGGAATGTTTTTCACTAACATAGAAGGAAATGGTTATTCTCTTAAAAAATGAACCATTTTCTTACGCTAGCTCTATTATCCTACTAAATTACAGCATTGGTTGACCAAAAGTGTTTTACTGTTGACTAAGATCTTTATCGCATATTGCAATAACATTGTCTTTCTTTCATGTAGATAAAATGTGTTGGTTGCTTTCTTTTTCTGGCTTGGAAATCCTCTTTTAGGTGTCATTTCTACAAGTTTAATAGTGTCACAGTTCGTGGACCGTTACTTTCAGAGGTGGCGAACTTGTTTCTGTAGGTCTGTGAGTCCTTGTTCTCCCCTTCCCTGGGTGCAGCCTCCACCTCCTTTCTGGAGTTTTGCCTCATCTCGGGGGCATAAAGCTGTGTTGAAGAGAGTATGTGTTCAGCTGTGTGGGAAAATTACTTTGCTGTTCTCTCCAGCCTTCCTTCGGGTACTGCCATATTTGAAACGTAGCCCTGACTGGAGACAGCTTCTGTTTCTCTTTTTGCTACCTCAGTAAAATGATAGGTTTGAATCCTCTTCTGTTTTAGGTTTTTTTTTAACAACACTTACAGAGAGCATATATGTGTGCTTCAAATTGAAAGAGTGGCTGAATCCTATTTAATGCACTGAATGGCTGTACTTTTGATAAAAGTAAGAGAGGAAGCTGTGAGGTTAGTTTTGGTACCTGTTTTAAATGCTTGTTTACATTGTGTACATGTGTGTACAATTATGTGACTGGGACAAGAAGATTTATTTGTCCATACAATGGGAAATACTTAATTTTGAATCTAGCAGGTTGCTGCTTTTCTTTTTCAGACGGGTGCCAATACAGATCTCTATTACAAAACATTCAGTGACCCCCTCTATCTTGCTCAGTTTAAGATGCTGAGAGACACATTATACTATATGAAAGGTACAGTATTTGTATTTTTTTTTTATTTGTCCTTCATTATTTTTAGGATCTAAAGCATTCTCTGCATTGTATTGAGTGCTCATAGGGGTTTGCATATCCTGGGAACTTCACATATGCCGTAAAATTTGTATTTTGAAATGTTTCCGTATAAAAAAGGTGCTATAGAAATAGAAAAAAAAATATTGAGCACCACTAAAAGGATTAATAAATGGCATTTCAATTGTCTGCTTACTGGTGGACTTTGCTATGAGATTTATCTTTTAGGTAGGGGATAAGCTTTATGAAATAATTTAATTTGTAACACAGCGATGGGTTTTATATATGTTGTCATTCTGATACACTGACTCCCATCCTTCTAGTATAATGCTATTTCTTTTTATTTCTTTAGACCTTCCCAACTCATTTGTGAAGGAAATCCATGACTTTGTGCTAGAGCAATTCAACAGCAGTCAGTCAGAACTTCAGAAAATCCTTCATGATGTGGATCGACTGCACAATGAACTGAGTCCTTTAAAACTGCGTTGTCAGGCTAATGCTGCCTGTGTGGATCTGATGGTGTGGGCTGTGAAAGACGAGCAAGGTAAAAAATGCTCTTCGGTCTCTGGAATGGCTGTCTTTTTTTTTAAGTTGTAGAAATACTTATAAGGTCTCAGAGTAGATTATGCTCAGAGAAATATAAAATAAATTTCAGTGGAATACTTTTTGCTATTAGAATGCAAGAGTAAAACTTCCATCAAAAAGTTGTCAAATCAGTTAGCTAGGTAGTGAGACATCTCTTCATCGAAATGAAAACAAAAACATCCTATTGCCTTGGCTCAAGAGATGGTATAATTGCTGCATTACGTGCAGCTGCTTATTTTCTAGTTTATTTTATTTTTAATTTTTGCTCTTAGTGTCTTAAATGTTTTTCAGTCACTTCTAAAGAAAATGTTTTTTCTTCATTGCTGACAGGACTGGGAAGCTCTTTCTCACTTGTTCTGATTTTTTTTTTTTTCCTTGTTGTATAATTCTTACACACCCTCTGAGTATGTGAAGGATTTTTTCCTTTGGACCTTGCAAAACTTAACTTCTGTCAGATGAGAAGAAATGCTCAAAATCAACTTTAAGTACTGTCATTCTTTCTATTGTAGTGTTTGACAGAGCTGTTTGGTGCAGGTAACTGTTTCCAAAACTATTTTTGCAGAAGCAGCACTACATCTGTTTGAGGAATTGTAGTATGAGGAGAGTGAAGCTGATAAATTTTCTGTGTTGTTTCAGAAATTCCAGTAAGCACTGGGTTGTGTGTGGCCTAATAACAAATCTGATCTACATACATTTTTCTGTTGCATTTTTCCTTTAAGGTGCAGAAAACCTGTGCATCAAGTTATCAGAGAAGCTGCAGTCGAAAACCTCAAGCAAAGTCATCATTGCTCACTTGCCGCTGCTCATTTGCTGTTTGCAGGTCTGTCTCTACAGTCCTTGACATTACTGCATCAGTGAGTGGGAGTTTGGGGAGTCTTACAGGTTGCTAGAATAACACTTTTTATCTGCTGTTTGTATTACTTTCCATCATTGTGCTCTGCGTTTGGATTTTAGAGGTCTGGTGTGGAAACTAGAACTGGAGTAGAATAGTGCTTTCAGAATTTTCTTAGCTCAACAACTTCTTGAAGAATAATATTCATGAGGTTTTTTAACTAGTATTTAATTTCTGAAATATTTAGCTTCCTAGTCCATTAAATAAACTGTTAAAATACTGGGACTGGCAGATCACTGAGTTTTAAGACCAAGGCTTGGTTATTCTAGTTTTTATGTCGTCATATTGGACACTTATTCATAGTCTTACAAATGTGGTGTTTTCCACCATGTAGTAAATAGTAAATTAGCAGGATTCTCTAAACGTTTGAACTTGTCCAGTAACTTTATTTTCAGAGAGTGCAGTTCATTTCATGTAACTTCTGTCAAATCACCCTGAGGAAGAGAGCAGTTAAGGCTTGACTGGCATGACGCACTCTTAGGATAACCTAAGAGAATTAGAGGCTTGAAATGTCTAAATCTTGCGCTAAAAATTGAATCCCTCAGAACTATGGATGGTTTGTTTTGGTTTGGGTTTTTTGTATTGAGCTGAACTTGCGAGCTTACAGTTGAAATAAAAATTGTCCTGTGATATTCTAAAGCTATGTTTGGGTTTTTTTGGTTTTTTTTAGGGTCTAGGTCGTTTGTGTGAGAGGTTCCCTGTTGTGGTTCATTCTGTCAATCCATCCTTGAGAGACTTTCTTGTGATACCTTCCCCAGTGCTTGTGAAACTTTACAAGTATCATAGCCAGTATCACACAGGTAAGGGGAAAAAAAGGCCATGTTCCAAAGGATATGCTAGTGATTGTGACTGTTTTCCAACTTTTGTGATTCTTTTTTTTTCTTTTTTTTTTTTTTCCCCCAGAGGTAGGAGGAATGCAAATCAGATTCTGGTAGAAGTGTATCTAAGGGCAAGCAGTATGTGTAGAGCTACATTTTATTCTAGCAGCAATATTGCTGTGCCTGTTCTGCTGAAACTGAGATAGTCTTATCTCAAGCACTTTTGTCCTGAGTGAGATCACCAATAACTGTAATGTGATGTGGCATTGAAGGTTGGTCATGTGTGTCAACCTCCTGCATTCAGTTCAGAGCAGTTTGCTTAGGGCTTTGTCCACATGGCCCTTCAAAAACCTCTGAGGACAGAGGTTCTACAACCTGAGCCAGTGCATAATTATCCTCATAGTGGGTGGGGGCGAAATAATCACATATCCAGTTGGAACCTCCCTTGCTTCAAGTTATGGCTGTTGTGTCTCACTCTCCCACGAAGTCTGTTTCTGTCTTCTCAGTAACCTACTTTATGCTTCAGAAGGCAGCCGTTAGGTTGTGTTCTCCAGGCTGAACAAGGCCGTGTTCCTCAGACTCTCCATACAGGTCCTGTGCTCCAGCCCCAGGACCATCTTCATGGCATTTGGGAGGATTTTTGTTGGTCTTAAATTGTAATATCAAGTTATGATTTCTAAAAAGAAAATGTTCAATTGAAATCACTTGCTGATGCAAAAGCAGAACAGGTAAAATGACAGCTGAAGGTGACTAAATTTAGGAATAGTTGTTTAGGAATAGTTAGATGCAGTAATATCTTGCGCAGCTGGTGACAAGACATTCACTTCCAAAGTTCTTCAGCTCAGCTCTCTGAGCTGTAAAGTGGCTGTTTTGCACTCACCAGATTCTGCTCTGCTTGTGTGCTCTCATCTTGGGGAAAAAAGGTATTTCAAATGGTGTTGATTTCTGTACTCTCTGCTCTTAGTAGGTGGTAATGATATCAAGATTAGTGTAACCAACGAGCATTCAGAGTCCACTCTAAACGTAATGCCTGGCAAGAAAAGTCAACCGTCCATGTATGAGCAGCTGCGTGACATTGCCATAGAAAACATCTGCAGGTGAGAGAGACTTGCACCATGCTGGAACACATGGTGCAAACAGAAAAGTCCCGTGAAGTTCAGAAGGTGCTGCTCAGTGCTGCTACAAAGGCTTTTCGCCTTTTTAATCGTGACTTCATTTTCTTTCAGACAGCTCTTGGTTCTGTTTATGCCCTAATTGTAAAATAATAATTCAGTCTCATTGTTTTGCTTCCCACATGTGTAATTCAGGCTAGTCAACATTTTGATACTCAGTGGGTTTTTTGTTTTCTGCTTAGAATATTGTGTTGAGTGAGCCTCCTGTAACAGAAGGATTGTTACGCACTCAAATGTGGGCAGTGTAATGATTATTCTTCCCTTCTAGGCAGCTACAGAGAGCTGGAGGAAAGATAAATAGTTGGTGACTAGAGACAAGGAATTAAAGTTTCTAAAGCAGTGGATTCTGAACTTACCTTATTGCATATCCCCATCATTATTGTTGCTGGAGAAAGCAGCAGTAGAAACTCCACTCACTTTTTAAAATACATCTGCAGCGTTCCTAGGCAATCAGTTCTTATACTTCATCATAAATTATTTTCCTTATACTTGGTGTGCATTTACAGTAGTAAAAAGTGAAATCTTTAATTCATGCTTTTTTTTTTTTCCTCTGGGTGTTCTAGCAAGTTTTCTGTTTATTGTTATTGCAGATGTTTGAAAGCTGGCTTGACTATAGATTCGGTGATTGTTGAGGCCTTTCTTGCCAGTTTATCCAACCGTCTGTACATCTCTCAAGAGAGCGATAAGTAAGTTGTTAGTCATCAAACCAATCTTTCCTTCACTCATTGAACCCGAATCTATTCTATGATTCTATGGGCAGCCTTGTTTTAGAATTAAGCATGTCTCAGATTAGTGAGCTTGCGCGTGGGGTCAAGATCTTCCCACGCAAATCTTTGCAGAGCTGAAGTCTTGTTTTCATACTGAGACGTATAGATTCATTTTTATCTGACTGAATCAGCAAATCTTTGGTGTTAGGCAATTCTGAGTCCTAGACTGAGTGATACTCTCCCTGCTGTATCCTTCAGGCTTCAGCTGTCTTTTATGGCTTGACACAGCTTGTCACTTCTGGCACTTGATTTGTTTCACTTTTAAGAGACTCGCCAACCACAAAACCTCCAAGAGGAGGTCCTATCGTAGCTGGTCTGACTTAATGTTTCACCTCTTTTCACTTCTGTTTCTAGAACAGTTTGTTCATGGATTAGTGTGGGTTTCTTGGATAATGTGTTTGTGGGTTTTTTGGTTTGTTTATTTTGAAAATCAACTTGTGCCAGTACATCTCTAATGGTAATGTTGGGAGTAGATGGGTATGTAGAGTGGCAATATTAAAGCTGTTAGTGATGTTTAAATTTAACCATGCTTGGAGGTCTTGATAACTGTTGAACAGTTACATGTATGGTTTTGGGTTTGTTGTTTGTTTTTGTAACAGGGAAGCTCATTTGATTCCTGACCACACAATTCGTGCTCTAGGGCACATTGCAGTGGCACTGAGGGACACCCCAAAAATGATGGAACCCATCCTACAGATCTTACAGCAGAAGTTTTGCCAGCCACCATCTCATCTTGATGTACTCATCATTGATCAGCTGGGCTGCTTGGTCATCACTGGAAATGTAAGGAAACAACTGGCTAAGAGACACAGTTCACGATTCCTTTTCTTTAGTTAAAAGGAAACCTATTTTAGAAACTGCATTTGCAGAAGTTTTTTAAGGTTTTTCTTTTCTTCACCACAGCTATGGGCTTGTACAATCCTCATGTCTCTCTGACATCAGAAAACAAAAGCTAATTAATAACGTGTAAAATGCTGTCCCTGTAAAGATTAGTTCCCATAGAAAATAATAAAAGGGTTTTTTAAAAAAAAAAGAAATGTTTAAAAAACTCAGTGTTTTCAAAAGTTACTAAGAAGTTTATAAACTTGGCCTATGTCCCAAGTAGGTGCCCATTATCTCTTTTCATATCAGTAATTAACTTTCAAAGTCTTACAGGCTCATACATTTAAAAGTATGGATTGCCTTCTTCAGTCATACAGAGATTACTTCACTTACCTTTTCCAAATGTAATTTGTGCCTCTGTCAGTGAGCAATTAATTGCCAGAACTCAGAAGCTTGGAAAAAAAGTTTTCCATCAGGAAGGTGGAGTTAAAGAACTTAATAAATTTTGTAAAATTTGAGCAATTAAAACCACTAAAGAAAGCACTTCTACTGTGCGCTTTGTGGAAGCTGAAACTATTGCTCAGGCTCTGCCTAGATATCAATCTGAAGAACTTCATCACGCTTAGTGTATTTTACAGGGTTGTTCTTTAGAGAGATTGTATCAGTAAGCTCTACTTAGTGATTTGTTTGTGGTTTTTTACAGCAATATATTTACCAGGAGGTGTGGAATCTGTTTCAGCAAATCAGTGTTAAAGCAAGCTCAGTTGTTTACTCTGCCACGAAAGACTATAAGGATCATGGGTACAGGTAACACAGCTGAGTCCCTTAAACGTATAAATACTATATGGAATGTGCTTTATGCTACATCAGGGATTTTCCCTTTTCCCCACTGTGTTTTATAACGAGGTTATAAATAGTCCTGTTCTTTTATTTTATGTTGAAGTGTAATATATTAAAAACAGTAGTGCTTCATGATGTAGGGATTCCTAAAAATGTTTTTCACTACAGGTAGTACTGATTTTTTTTTTCCCCCCCTCTGTAAGGAGTTAATGTTTGTAAATAATAATTGACATTGACTTATGCTATCTGTAACTAGAGTAATTAACTTCTTAGCCTAGAAAAGCTAGTGAAGTTTCATTGGGGTTTTGTGTGTGTTTGTGTGTGTAGTTTTTGGTTTTATTTTTGTTTTGTTTTTTTTTTTAAAGTGGCCCCAGTACTTCTTAGGGATTAAATGCAAACCATTAACAATTTAATTCTTAGTATGTATGTATGTATGCGTTTTAGTCCCTGTTATAATTAAAGATTATCACTGACTTTGGTAGGTGGGGTAGGCTGGATATCTTTTAACGTAGTATGTGAGTAACAGAAAACAATTCCTGTCAATATGTTTTAACATACTGTCTGACCCAGTGCAATCTCTGCTTTAACAGTAACTGATACTGGTTCTGATTCTGCTCAAGAGCTTTTCCAATCCAGAAGCACAGCCCTTTGCTGCTGCTTGTCTGTAGCCATATCTGCTATAGGAAAGTCATTTCCTTTTGGCCATGACAGTGTCAAAAATGAAATGTCCTCCAAGAAATGAGGTTTACAAATAGTTTTTCACTTAAATACTGATTGCATTCCAAATATCAGCAATGTGCCACTATTATAAAAAATATGTCCCAAAAAAACTCTGGGTGAAAAAAGTCAGCAGCCTTATTACAAGAGTTACTATCAGCATTATAAAGAAAGCACTGAAAATATAAAACTTTGAGGAATTGCTTGTTCATAACTGTTCTTTCTTCTCAGACACTGTTCCTTAGCAGTCATTAATGCCCTAGCTAACATTGCTGCTAACATTCAAGGAGAACACCTTGTGGATGAGCTACTGATGAACTTGCTGGAATTGTTTGTTCAGCTTGGGCTAGAAGGAAAGAGAGCTAGTGAGAGAGCAAGTGAAAAAGGACCGGCCCTGAAGGTGAGATATTCACTGTTTTTCAGTTGTATGCAGCTGTGCATTTATATGGATGGCACTACTAAACATAGTCTTCTGTACGTTTTTTGAACCAAACCCACACCCTTACACACACAGGAAAAAATCATGCTTTGTTAAAACCAAGAATGTGTTCTGATCATGGAATATTAGTGCAGATCTAGAATGCCTTTCAAACACCTAATGAATCTGTATGGTATCTGAGATAAAGCAGTGGTATACCCACTGTTCAGCTGAGCCTGATTTTGTGTGGGGCTGGGTAAACTGGACTGTTGAGCTGGCAAAGGCAGAGCTGCAAAGAGAAATATGGAACGCTGACTACTGAACGCCTCTTATTCTGAAAGTGTCTTTAAATGTGACACAATTCTACTTCTAATTTTAGTGGTGTCATAGGAAAACTCAGGGTGGAAGGGACCTCAGGAAGTCGTCTAGTCCAACCTCCAGCTTGAAGTAGTCAGTTTATGTCATCCTGATTAATCCTGAATTGCTGCTATGAGTGGGTGCTTCTTGATTTTATTTTTTTTTTTTTTCCCCCCAAGGTCCAAGCTGATGCAGGTCTATCTGTCTAGGCTTATAGTGGAAGCAGTGCAGTGAAGCAAAAATTACAGATTTAATAAAGATCTCTGATGATTTTTAGAGGTGCTTTATTTAGAGAGCAAGTTTGTTTAAAAAGCTTGCCTAAGAAAGATGAGACTTGTCTCTTAGATTCATTTGTATGTTAGGAATACTTTGCAGAAGAGTACATTTAAGTGGTCTTGCTTTGAAATGGAGTTCTTTTCAAATGCAATTTTTGATTGTGATTTGTGAACTTTAACACATACTGGCCTATAAAAGTCTATGAGAAGGTTTGGAAGAGGAATGAAATTAAATGCCAACTT